GTTGCAGTTGGGGTGTCATTGGCCACCCGCGGTGCTTCCTTCTGGACGTCAGCTGGCTTAATGGCCCTTTTTACACAGAGAGGCAGGAGCCGACCGACAACGATGCAGACCGCAATCAGCGCAGTGAGGGCCTCGTTGCCGAATGGCACAAAGGCGCACACGGGAATCGCCAGCAGCTGCACCGTCCAGAGCACAACTACGCGGCACGCACGCGACGCGCAGCACGGTGCCTTCTCCGAGGTGGACTGCATCGCCCAGTGAACGTAATTTAGTCGCGATGCTTACGAGTACGATGGAGAGAGAGAGACGCGATGGGCATTTCGTTGTCGTTTTGTTGGCAACAGAGAGACGCACACACTAGTCCCAGCCGCCTTGTTTATTGGCAGGCCTCTTCTCCCTACCCCCCTTTCCGTGATCTCGCTCCCTGCGGGCTCCGCGTACTCGTACATGCATCTAGATCGAGATATTTTTTGCGTCCAGCAGTATGCATGTGTGTATGTAGGTGAGAGAGCGACATAAATAATTAAATAGAGCAGGCCTCTCCAAAAAAAAAGAAAGAAAACAGACAAACCAAGGGAGGGATGGGAGGACGGCACGCCGCCACCACACAGGGATTTTAAGGAGAGGAGTGTGATAGGCCTCTCCAGGAGAGATGGGCAATGCAGGCTTTTTGTTTTTCGTTCAATTCGTCGTCGGCGCGTCGGGCGATTTTGCCAGCACCGCCGCGTCGCAAAAGTTGCGAGCGCACGCGCGCCTTTCGTGCGAGTCATGACAAGTCCTGTCGCGGCGGGTCAAGGCTTACCAGTGGTGACCGTGACCAAGATCATCGACCACTCGCATTTGAATGCGGACGGAATGCTCTCCCTCTCCACCCTGCTGAAGGCGAGCCACACCACACGCAACCGCCCCTGCCCAAGCACTCTCGTCAGCGCCTCGTTGGCACCATAATAACATCTTTCCCGGCGCGCTCTCAAAAACCTCTCCCCTCCGCTTCAGTGGATGGACATCACCGCCTGCCTCGCCGCCGAACTGCACTGTGCGCCGGACGAAGCCTACGCGGGATGAGGCTGGCACAGCAAAGCCAGCGAGGCTCACTCTATCCGTTGGACCCCCTTACCGCAGGCCGCAAGATGAGCGTCACAATCTCGATGGACGAGGTCTCGTTCCCCGCAGAGGAGTATGGCAA